GGAGCCTGGTGGGATCACCTGTGGGGACACTGGGGAAGAAGACAATGACCATCTCTCCCTGAGAATTCACCAGTCAGCAGGGTGGGTTGTGGGCTTATGTGCGTCCCTCGTGATCTATGACTGAATGACGATATGCTTGGGCTTAAGCAAGGTGCAATGCAAGCAGGTACGAATGCTGTGCTGGCTATGCATGTACCTGAAATTTGTACGTAATGTGTTATTACTCTCTCTCTTCCCAAAGTCCCGAGAACTATGTACAATTGCTGAGCACGTAACTGCAGAAGGTAACGTGGCGAGAGCAATGTCTCCTAATGTTCACTGTCAACAAGTGGCTATCATTATATGTAGAGAGAAACCACTTTTAACCAATACTGAAAACTACAGAGGAGAATTCTGAGTGTTTACACAAACCCTAAGGAAAAAGTGTGCTTGCTCACATTCCAAAACACCTTTCTCAAACATTATTATTTTCTTAAACATCTAGGTCATCATTCCATTTATCAATTCTTTAAAAACAGCAATTGGTTTTGATGCATGTTAGCACCATTGTTAGGATTATGAAATGTGTACACCCTGGGCATGCTGAATCCCAGGGGTTTCTGTGGCGCAGCTGCTAGGAAGAACTTGCTGCTATAGTCTAGGCCCAGGCACATCGTAAGAAATTACAGAGTGAAGGGAAAGAAGATGGGGCCCTGAGATCATGGGAACAAAATGGGAGTCCTGAAAGCAAGGGCCAGGTGAAAGGCAGGCTAGCATGCTTTGCCATTGACCACATTTCTGGGACTGGCCTAGGGACCTGGGGCTTTCTGCCACACAGCTCGCCAGGCTTCAGAGAATCCCTCAGACTCAGCCAGTCAAGACTCACACATCACACACACAAGCATGGCTGCGTGGTTCAGGAGCTCAGGCATGAGGACAATGCACGACAGCCTCCTGTGGCTCCCACTTGCTGAGGTCCCACGTCTTGCAGCAGAGCCAAAATTGCTACCTAAAGGACTATGGAAAAATTTTGGTCTCAAAACTGGGACAGTTGTTTCTTCTGGAAATGTTTAATTGTTTGGGTTTAGAACATCATTAATCATGAAGCAAAGGACACAGCTCCCTTTCAAACTGTTTAAAATAAAATAAAATAAAACCTGTTTCTATCAGAGCCACCGCCCAGGATCTTGCACACTGCATCTCTATTTCGTCACCCTTTCTCCCTTTTCCCTGTACCTCAGTTCACTCCTGCCACGCTTTCCTCTCCATGTGCTGTGTACCGTGTGCTCTGGAATAGGGCGTGCAATCAACAGTCCCCAGGTAATAAAGATAAAAAGGGCTTTGAAATAATCTAGTTCTATGTGGCATATTTCACAGACGAGAAACCCCAGGTCTCAGTGGCTATTGTTTCAAAGTCTTACTGCAAGGCAGGGATCCTAAAAGGAGTTTATGAGTTTTAGTTAGCATATGGCGGCCTCCGGTTCATGAGACTCTTTCCTCAATCCTGTTCTTTAGGATGGTACTCTCTGAGAGATGCCGAGAAATACCTCCCCCCCACCGGAGGGAAACTCTCCAGGCCACACCTCACTTTAGAGAGTCACAAGAAAGTTCTGAGGAAGTCATATAACAAGTGAATCAACTTAATCATCTCTAACTTCATCTCTCTTTTCTTTGGGGCCATGGCTGGAAGCTACACCTATGAAGACTCCTTGGAACGCACCTTGGGAGGTTCTGGGTTAAGATGAGATTCCAGGAATCAAGTGGAGGACAGAGATGGCACATGTTTATCTCCTGACACATCAGCCTCAGCTGAGGGTGCGCTCGAAGGTGGAATGTCATGCTGCCCCACGGAGCTTCATCTCCCAGCAGTGGAGAGGGTAATGGACCCGTGGAGGACCGGGAAGGACATGGCTGGCATTTTGTTTTTAATGCCTACTATCTTCTGCCCACTTTAGACGGGAGGAGGTTGCAGATAACTTTCCGACAGAGGTGAACACAATCAGACAAAGGTTGTCTCCAAGTGTGTGGTCCCGAGGGCACCTGGTGTGGTCCCGGGGGCCCTGTGGTGGTCCCGGGGGCCCTGTGGTGGTAGGACACCTGGCGCCCTAAGCCCAGATACTACAGCTGTTGCTGGGTGACATGGCTGACTCTGTTCTTGTCACCCAAGTTCTTACACTCTCTGAACTTATGTTTCATCTTCAGGAAAATGGGTATCCTAACAATCACAATACGGCAGTTGTGTAGGCCGCAGTTTAAGACCTCAGTACTTGCCCGTCCCTTTCCAGGAGCCGCGATGTGTCTGTTAAACAAAAAAGCACCACTCAGATTGGCTGTATCTTCCCTTCATAGACATTTCTTCTCACAGTGGACAGAGATGATGTACACCAGTGGTCACACAAGACCCTCAGTGTCCTCCCTTCAGGACAACCGTAGCTAACCAGTTAGTACTGGTTCCTCCAAGGATCTAGCTGCCTGTGAGCCCCTAATCCTGTCCCTCTCGAAGAGCTGTGCTCACAGGTATGAGAAGCCCAGACTATGGTGTTACTGGGGGGTCCAGACTCAAGAGAAACAAGTGAGTTTCTCCTGGAAGCCATGGGCGCCAAAGTCATGATGTCTCCAGGTCGGCTACAGACAGCCTTCCATCTGAGCAACCCTTCCACAGACCGGACACAGGCAGGAGTGGCTGACCCAGCTCTCTAGGTGGCTCGCACAGTGGCATATTCTACCCAGTTGTTAGAAATAACAAACGACATTAAAAGCAGGTAAACTGATATGCATCATCTGGAAACAAGGAAGGAAGGGAGGAAGGTTGCTGAACGTCTCAGTCATTTTTATTGATTTCCTTGTTATTCGGTCCCAAACACTGTCCTATGTTTGCCCTCCTCTACTCTCTCTCGCTTCAGTTTATTTATCATCATTAGTATTTATTATTGTGGGTTGTGAGTCTCAGGAGTGAACGGAGGTCCTCAGGCACATGAGGCACTACTGAGCTTCAGCTCCTGCCCTCTTTCTATATGTTATAATCACAAAAACATTTTAAAAACAATTAAAAATATATGATGTAGAAAAAAGAAACACAATCATATTTAAAAAGATTATCAGCAAATACTTCCAAGTTTAAAAACAACAAACAAATAATTTGCATTACTCATGTCACCAGGGTCAAGTAAAAGATGCCTTAGCTGTGTAGTGTAGCATGAGTCCTACACAGGTGACCGCAACGACCTCAGGACCGACACTATCAACTGCACACTGAGACATCTCAGGACCTATGGAATGCAGCAGCTGGGAAATACTCAAGGGGTTGTTCTCCTACGTAAGGCAAGGCTGGGGGAGGAGCACAGTCAGTGCGAGCCGAGCTTGAGGTCAAGCTCCAAACTTGGGCCCGGCCTCAGCTCGAGTCTCCGTTTCTGCCCTGGCAGGATCTGGTCCAGACTGCAGAGACTCTTACCATTTCCTTCAAGGTCTGGAGCACCGTGGGTGGCACCCTCTCTGCGTCCCTCGCCACACACCTCTTACTCTCTGCCCACCGTTAACTGTGCCTTTTCTCTTATTTAGGGGGACATAATGGTTTCGGTGAGTTTCAGGCTAACGTCACTCACTGGTAACACTGTGAGCACTCACGCACTGGAGCACCTCTGAGGGTGTCTGGCACACGCAGGGAGGATGGAGAGTCTTGGCGCTGCAGCCTGAGATGGCACCCTGCTCTCTGAGGGCCTGTACCACACGCATAATGCAGCGCGAAGAAAAGAGCCAAGGAAAACGTTCCCCAAATTATAACTGCATCTTGGTAATGAGAAGCTATTAAAATATATTTTAAAAAATCCCCAAGCTGATGTGTTTCTTAGGATTCTGAGCTTCCCCACTGCTCTGCCATTTCCCCATTCTGTATGCACAGCAGAGATTCCTGCCAAGACTATTACAGTGGGCAAACAATGTCTTCTCTGTCAGAGAGAGAATGAACAGTATCACAAAGCTCTCCTCTAATGTACAGCCTACACTCCCACAAGCCTTCCGAGGAGAACCGCCGGGGGAGGGGAGGACAGAACACTCTCCACTTGCCAATCTGAAACTGCTTTCCAGAACAGCAAGGGTGGACGACCGCCAACCATGTATTATCTTCTAATCAGAGAAGGTTGACAAGTAGATTTCCATTGTGGCTGTATATTGTTTCATCCCTCTGGATATGAGCACACAGATACTTTTGTAAGGAAAAAGGCAGAAATGCTTCATCTTAAAAAAAACCTCAGGGCTTAGTGAAAATAGCCTTTCGCTACAAACTGCAGAGCAGCAGAGGAGTTTGTATTAAGACGCTAGGAGCTGGGTCACAAGTGCCAAAGCCACTATGGGCTCTCTTGCTTCCCTTAAGGCTTGGTGCCTGCTAAGCTCGTGATTCAGAGAGGAAGAGCCTGCAGCAATTCCCTGGATATGTAAGACAAGGCTAGCCCACTCCTGCAGGTCCCGAGGACTGTCTGTCTCCCCCTCAATGGCTTTTCTTTAGAACATAGGCATTAAGCACGTGACCCTTCAAAATGAGACGTTTAGAAAGCTCTTTGCATGAAATCTGTGAAAGGATTACTTGGTGTGCATTTTCAGAAAAGAACAGAGAGTTTTTAAAACTTTTCTTACTTGTGTCTTAGTCTGGGACCCTGCCCCCCCTCCCATGTGACATGTACAGAACACACACGTTATCTGACCTTTATTTAGGATCCCTTGACTCTTTCATCATGAAGGAATGAAAGTTATTTCCAGTCTAAACACAGTCTTGCCCGCCCCCCTTTTCCCACACACTTGCTGACCAGCCCCGTGGTCTCCCAGGGGGAGATGGGGTTCTCCTGGTGACACATTTAGTGAGGCTGCAGGAAGCTGCGACAGCCTTCCTTTCTTCTCTCTCTCCCCCTTTCACTCACACAGTCCCAGTCTGCACCAGACTAGACAATCAAAGCTCTGTGCGGCCGGTCCCACGGCCATCTGAAAATGCTAACCCTGTGCTCCCTTCTTCCTACAATGGCAACATTTACCTTGGAGAAATAGTTGTCCAAAAAAGTATTTCTGCGTTCTAGTAATGTGCTCCGTTCAAACGTCGTTATGGGAGATTCCCTCTCCTTTCTTGGCCTGTAACCAAAAAGAAAGAAAGAATGTTGGGGGCAGGGGAGGCACATGGATAGGCTGTGAAAGACACTTGCCAGCTTACTGTAAAATCCTGGCCTGTTTACCAGACATCAGGCTTTGCATTCCTCTCTACAGAGGCTGCAGGTTTAACTTCTAAATGAGCAAAAGCAACCACCACAGTGAATATATACGACGTTTCCCCTCTGAAATAACAGTCACATTATTATTTGATCCAATATAGATCAATCAACTTTTTAAAAAATTTCTCAGTCTTCCCAGTTTGTGACAGAGAAATCTGTATGTTACTGTAGTACAATTAAGATCAAGTAACTGTTACCGACATTGGAGTTAAAACACAGTATTTATCTGAAAAGAACATTCAGAGTTTTTGGCAAGGTAAGCCATGACTCAACTCTGACATTTTCTGATGGAAAGGAAGCTGTGGTGGTGAGGGGCATGCATCAAGACCAAGGGCTTGTGGGTCTGATCCCTTATCATCCCATCAGCGCCCCACTATGGAGATGAGAAGGATTCTCAGAAATGGAGGATCGGCTCCCACATCCTGTCGTTGGTCTGCCCAGCCCTTCTTCCGCCTCCCTCTCCCCTCTGCTTCACTTCCCATCCTTTAACACGTCTGTTCTGCACTGAATTCCTAGTTTTATCTTTTAAAATATTTATGTGTTTGTGTGTGCATCTGGATGTCATGTGTGTGGGTGCCAGTGAAGGCTGGAAGAAGTGTTGGAGCCCCTTGAGCTGGAGTTACAGGAAGTTCTGAGGAACCCAGCCTGGCTCTTCTGGAAGACCAACAAGCACTCTTAATTGATGAGCTGCCTCTTTGGCCCCATGAGACACCATGATGGGGGCGGGGCGAGGAGGGAGAGGAGAGGACTGGACAGTGAAGGAATGAGCTCATTCTCACGAGGCTGTCCCGGCTGCTGTCTAAGACCTAGGACTTCTTTATGCTAGCAGACTGAGGTACAAATTCTGCTCTGTTTTCCACATTCAGTTGCAGGACATCAGCCACCCAGATTTGTATTAACTGCTGCTCTTTTGAATATATCGTAATTTCTGAGTGCTGCTTTCTTTGGCGCAGAATCGGCACGTTGTTTATATTATATGAAGGTGCAACTATTCTTTCTCTGCCAGCTGTCAAGGGAAGAAAGGCTGACTTTTGTTTGCCAATGTGTTCAGCTATATTCTTATTTTCTTATTTCTAAACTAAATCTAAAAAGATCAGAATGAGAGGCACAACCCTGGGCTGTCTTCCTCTAACTCAAATCCACATCTCTCTCTGTCAATCACACAAAGTGGGAGGGACAAGGCTGCACTGAGTGAAGTGCTCCTGGGCTCAGTGATTCCCGCCATATTGTTCTACTCTTTCATCAGCTTTCATGTAAACCTCCTCCAGGCTCCCGCCAGGCACATATATGTTGATACAGATTCTAATACCCTCTTGGCTTCTCTATGTCAATGCCCAAGCTCAGAAAACTCTTTTAAACTAGTTAGAAAGATGAGCAGGATTAATTATCCAAGCTCCATGGCTTCAGGTCAGGGTTGTTTTTGTTTTCAAATGTGAATTCTGACACTGCATATTAGAAATATAATTTCAGGGCGGGGATGCAGTTTGTGAGTTTGTAGTAGAGCATGGTGTGTCCTGGTCAAAGGTCTAGGCTGAATCCCTGGGTCACAAACACACACAGATAAAAGCAACACGCACTTTCTAGTACCAGACGTGAATGAAAAGCTTGACTTAACTGAACTGTCTAGACTGCTGCATAATTTTGCATTGTCAAGATAGGTAGAGCATGAGTTAGAAATATCCCCGGAAAACAAGGTGGTGGAGATAGTGGTGCTACCACCATCTAACAAGGCAGGCAGATGTACAGATTCAATGGATAACACTTACCACCCACGAAAGCAAACCCATATATTTACATTCCTTTATTTACACGGTCAATTGCCTGCTAACCGAAGTGCCAAGACTATTCAGCGGAGAAAGAGCAATTCTTTAGCAAACAGTGCTGGGACGGGTAGTAGCCACAGACAAAATCAGGAACTGGAATCCTGAACTCACACAATGTTAAAGTTGGGTTGAAATGATAAATGTAAGAGGTAAAAACACACATTAAAAAAAAAAACTACTAAGAAAGAAAACACAGGTAAATCTCCATGAGATCAGATCTGGCCAGGGCAGCTCCTGATAATGAGCACAATCAGTAACTGTAAAATAGAAAAGGTGTGAGACTTAGAAAACTATGCACAAGAAAGATGACATCCCAGAGGACAGAAACAGGCACAAGTCACTTGATAAAGGAATTGTAGCTAGAATATATTAAAAAAAAAAAACCTCTTAAAATGCAGTAAGACATCCAAATCTCAACTGAGCAAAGGGTCTGAGTAGGCATTTCTCCAGAAGAAGTTATAAAAGGACCAACAAATTCACAGACTGTCAACATCATCATCAAAGAAATGCAACCGGCAGTGAGATGCTGCCTCCTCGGCTCCAGCTGAAAGAGTCATGTGCTGGCAGGATGTGGAGAAATTCGAACCTGCAGACCCTCCTCAAGAAGTGCAAGACAATCACCCACTTTCCAAACAGTCTCGAAGTTCTCTGAAAGTGTCAACCATGAACTATCACCCCATCCAATAGTTCTGCTCCTAAGTATATATGGAAGAAACAAAACCAGAAATCCACACAAAAGCAAGGCATACGGAGGTTCATAGCCATATGATTCACAATGGCCATATTAGTCATATATAAAAGGGAATGTCATACTGACATAGGTTCAACATGGATGTATTTTGAATACATGGTAAAGGAAAGAAGCCAGTGACCCTGACTATTATGGAATCTCATTGGTAAGAAATGTCCAAAAATGTTCAAATAAACAGAGAAAGAGTGACTGCTTAGAGTTGGAGAAAATGGGAGGTAGACACTGGTAAAAATGATCTACAAATGATGCATACTAAAAACCCATTAAAGCTGCATCGTTTAAATGGATGATTGTATGGTATATAGATTATAGCTGAGTAAAGCTCTCACTAAAAGGAAAGACTATTCCTAAAGGTGTAGACATTATACTGTCTTCCAGATCCCTCTCAAAGAACTGCGACAAACTTGTGCTGAAGCAGAGCACCTCACTCCGTGGCAAACTACCACGTGTGAGCTTCCCTGAGGAAAATCCTCATGGACTCTGTGGTCCTTGGGCTCCTTCATGTGTGTGGCTATCACTGGCTGAAACCGATCCTACACTTTCAGTTTAGCAGCGCCTTCTGCCTTGTGGGATTTTAGGACCTCCCAATCCAGCTACCTCTCATCTTTCTGCTCCTCTGTCCGCATCCCCCGAGCCAGCAGGCTGTGAAGATCGGCACGTTCTTTCCACACCTGTTCTACTGACAGTTTCCCATGACTGGTACAGGCTCTGAACATTGGCAGTGGCACTCCTACGAAGGCCCAAACACGGAGTTTGTGACGTGCCTAAAAACTCCCCTGCCAAAAGCCGCTCAGAGCAATGGGGTAGTGAGTTTGGGGACCCACACCTGTGGTATGAGATCTGCATTTGATGAAAGACCTGGTCTGGCAGTGAAAGCCATCCCAGCAGGCCAGACCATGACAATATCATCTCAGCAGGGGAAATTACAGCTGAACAAACAGATTCCACCGATACTGAGCAAAGCGTCCACTGTGGATGAGAACAGTGAATGTGGTTAGTGGGCACTCCACCAGAGGGGCACATTTAAACTGCCTAAATACTCCATGCTTTAGCCACAACCAGTTCAGCTTTGGGGAGGCACGATAACGTGTGTGAGGCAAGAGGGAAGGCAGGAAGAGGCTTCCCAGGGCAAACACCCCGGTCCAGTTTCTGTTTGTTTGGGTTCTCCTCGAGCAGTTCAAAGGCAATTCTGCACTGGATGTGGCTGATCAGGAGTGGTACAGAACCTGGATTTGTGCAGCCTTGCTTGCATATTATTCTTTATACAGAAAACCAGAGATCACAGCGGTTTCTTATCAGCTACATTATCCTGCTGCAAATAGCATCTTAGCAAAAACAAAACGTGAACTTCCTTCCAGTCTGCTGGGGCTAAGCCCCATCTCTCCTTCCTGAGCCTTCTGCAACTGGCCTGGGGAGAGGCCGCTTACACAGTTTCCATGGCAGCTCTGGGTCAGCATTGGGGTGCAGAGTTCCAGGCCAGGGTCTTCCTGAGCCCAGCCAGCCTTTGCAGTTTAAAGCAGCGTATGGAGTTTCAACCAGATGCGGCCTGGTGTTGACTAAGACAGGATTAAGATAAAACTCCAAGAGCCTCTCTCCAGGAAGATAGCAATTTATTAATCAGCTCCCCTGGGGTATGCCTACTAAATCAGCTATTAATCCAGTTAATTATACACACCCCCAATTTGTCAAAGTGATGAGCATCTGCAATTTGATAGATTTTTGGTAAAGAAAAATCCATAAGCAAATGCATACCACTTCCCCTTAGTTCACTGGCATTCTGTGATTTAACAAGTGAACAATAAATTAGAGCTCTCCCTCTGTTTCAGACAGAACAGACATTTCTGCCTATTAAATTTCAATATCCAGCCCTTCTCAGCAATCATGTTCTCAGCGATCATGTGCGGCAACAGACTAGCTGCTTAGTGGCTCAGCAACACAGCGGCTGCTGCTGACAAAGAGACAGGCTGCTAACGGCTGTGCCGTGTGGAGAAGCCAATGCCCTGCTCCTGGCTGCTGGCACCATCCGCCCTTGCTAAGCCTTTTCTGCTCTCCGGCTATCTCCTACCAGCTCTCCCAGCTGTCCCTCTCCCCTCCTCCAGCCCCGCTGGCCACAAGCTCAGCCTGGCCGTTACTGCGTTAACAGGTGCGGTCTTCACGGCGTCATCAGATGTTCCTGCTTCATTGTTCCCGCTCTCAAACAGCTGGAATCCTGATGTATGCAGTCCATTAAGAGAATGGGGGGCTCGTGTTTTATTTTCCTTGTTGCAAACGGGAAACAAGGAAGAGGGAAGAAAGGCTAGCTGCAGAGGCACTGCAGAGGCCACCATGAGCAAAGATAAGACGGCTTAGGAACGTCAGGGTGGTTTGTAAAATCATCAAAAAGATTATAAAGACGACACTGGGAAAACAGTTTCTTCTGGAAATCCTCTCAAAGGTTTAGTTTAATGAAATAATATTCTCTCCAAGAATAAAATGCTTTCTTGAATTTTAGAGAGTTGATGATAAGAATCCTTGAATACGCATTTTTACACTATCTACAGTCTCCAGACCTTGGGAAGACAGGTACCGCTCTAATGCCAATGTCTAGTCATAAACAATTGGCATTTTATAAGCAAAAGCTTTCTATTTATAAACCTGTTACTTGGAAAAAGGTAAAATGACACATTGATACAAACCTTATCTGTAAGCATGTATTACAAGGGCGGCTTGGCGACAACTCCTTGCAGCTTTACTACTAGGAGAGGCACAATGAAAGTGACCCCGTCCTCCTGGCTGCTGAGGGCAGACTGGGCTATACCGTGAAAGCGTGAGCAGGGCAGCTCTACAGCCTACTTCTCAGCGTCTGAACAGAGAGCACTGGCGCAGGCTCCAGCACGAGAACGCAGTTTCAGAAATTACAGGCTGCTTTGGAGAACAGAAAGGGCAGAAGTTGTTCCTGCTCATGACTGGTTTGTGAATTGGTAGCAAAAGAAATATTTAAGAATATTCTCAAGGTAAGCATGGTGGCATATGTTAGCATTTGAATGCTGAGGCAGGAGGATGGAGAGTTCAAGTCCAGCCTGGGTTACATAACACGGCCTGACCCCTCATCCTAATTTTAAGGAATACTTGTCTAGACAATGCAAATACACACGGAGTAGAAACAAAAGCCACGGGAAAGTCACTTTTCACTCACTTTCTTCATGTGTCAATTTTACCACCTTCTTTATGAACATAAAATCCCTTATTCCCCAGTCCCACCCACTCCCTATGCCACAGAAGCATCTTTTTGCACTGAGGATTTGCTGCCACTTATACGCTTCTAGCTTTGGTGTGGCTTTGTCTCATGGTGGGCATCTTCCTGGGGGGTGTCTATCACAGCCCCAGGCCAGCCCTCCGACGTGTCCTGATAAGAAATGACTTCTCTAATTTCTGTTTTCTGTTGTCACACTCAAGGTTAGTCTCTAGATGACCTAAGGGCTGGAGGAAGTAGAGTTGTGTGAGTGTGCATGGGGAGACAGGTATAGAGAAGCGGTCTAAGCGCAGGACCTAGGGCAGGAAATCAGGGCAGGTGTATCTTTGAGACTCTTACTTCATGAGCATCTACATGCGAAACACCAGGCCAAGCCATCCGGGGATCGCAGGGGGCACGCTTGGCTGTTCCAGAGGGGCCACAGAACTAGTTATGCTGTGTGCATCTAGGCAGGGCTCCCTGTGTGTGCAGTTACAGGGGACAATGTGTATGGGTTCTGCTGATATGCTGGTAGGCCCCCACATTGTCAAAGTCTGGTCTGTGAAGTGCCCGAGTTCCGGAAGGTTGTGTGAATAGCAGGTGGGGCTGGCTGACATTTAGTAGATGGACCAGAAAGTAACTATATTCTTTGCCCCCATGTATGCACACATAGACCAGGTATCTATTACCATCTTTATAAATGTATAACACACAAACACACATTGGTAAAAGGAAAATTCCTTAGATCAATTGAGTTTCTCAGGCAAAATAAAGCAAAAGTTCGATATCCAGTAAATACGGCCTACTGAACCAGAATAGGTTCTAAGAACCTCAAGCAGCAATCTGATCAGATACTAACTACACAGAAATGAGGCCCAGGGAAGGCTCCAACACAGTCCAGAGTCAACTGGTCATAGCTTAGCTAGTTACCTGTTTACTGACCAGTGAACTGGTTACAATACTTTTTATAAACACCCTAAGTTCAGTTATTCTCATAAAATTCCAAAGTCCTGGTCTCTTAGGCCCATAGCAGACATCTGTCCAAACTCAAGACTTCTTAGAACATATTATGTGACAACTCTCTCTCTCTGTGTCTCTCTCTCCAACCTTCTGTATACGTGGACTCAACCACTGTTGAATGAAAACAAAACATCAAATATTCAAAAATGCATCATTACTGAACAGACTTCTTCCTTGCTATTATTCTCTAAACAATGCAGTATAACAACCACTCACAGAGCATTCATGGTTTACTGGGTGTGATATTCAAAGACGATTTAAAGGGTCCTGGAGGATGTGCACAGTTTTATGCAAATACCACGCCATTTTATTTAAGAAATAAGCACCTGCAGATCTGGGTATTTGTGAGTGTGTGTGTGTACTAAACAACCCACTCAGAAGCAAGGGAGAGCTGTACGTACACACACACACACACACACACACACACACACAACCACTTCAATCACATCCTTTCCACATTGCTTGCAGACATCATACCAGACTGCCACTGGAAACATGTCCACAGTCGGCTTGCTCTATGAGATGTCACCACGTGAGGAATGTCCTAGCCGTTCTCTGATGGGAAACAATTTCTTGATGACTTAAGTGGAATTCGGCAATTCTGAGACATTCAGTAAGATGTCATGTTTAGTATCTCAGAGGAAGACAAGGAATTCGTCTGAAGGTAAACAATACATGAACCAACATGTTCTCAAGCACCCTAATAGAGCCACACAGTAAGTAGCAAGAGCTCAGTGCACGTGGGCTGTGTTATGATGAGTAAGACATGGTACACTGAGAAGAACTGAATTGGAAGCTATGCCTCTGCAGGGTGATATACACTGCTGAACTGTGTATGTCCAAGTCTATACACTTATCTGCTACCTTTCTGAGACCATTAGGGGGTTCAACTGTCTAGGCAAATACACACACACACAGACACACACATACATACACACACACCTCTAGATTCAGAGTCATACACTCACATTAGGAGAACATAATCCAAACACCAAGGTTTTGTTGCCTTAAATCAAGCAGTTACAGAGAGGGGGGGGGGAGGGGGCCTGGAACACTTGCTTGAAGCCACTGCAGCAGCGTGCCTTGCTGACACCTAAATCTTAGCCCCAGCATACAGAGCTGACATAAGCTATTGCTGTCATCCAAGCCACACACTCGGTGCCACTTTGTTATAGCGGTCTTGGGAAACCACCAGAATTAGTGCATGGAAAACCAGTCACGCCTCCTAACATCTCAACCTACCTTTGAGGTGGAGAGGAGGGTGGGCAGGTGATGCTTAGGCCATTGCAGCTCTCACATCAAGGCTGACTCACTGCTGTTGTTTCCTAATTATAGAAATTCAAAGGAACACAGAAGTAACAGGCAGGTTCACATCCCTCATTACACCATTTCAAAGATGGAAGGTGCATTTTAAAGCATCATTTTCAGGACGAGCTTGCAGGACTAATTATGAAAACAACATGCCACAGAATGAAAGAGAAAGTTCCTTAATTGTAATTTTAAGACAGTTATGAAAGGACCCCACAAGACTTTGGGCTGGCTGGGATTCTCTGTGAATTGCTTTTACTCTACCGGAACACGCTGTATGAAGACTGCCACGTTTGGTTCATTTTGGGCTTAGCCTGGGCCGTGCACATGCTGGACGAGTGGCCTCTTATTTTCTTTGATTCCGTTCAGTTTGTGCTCTGTCTCATCTCAGAAAAGTCATACAGTGTTCATGATGCAGAGTACCTGGATTTCTGACATTTCCTTCATCTTTGGTGTGATTGGGTGCTTGTGTTCTACTCTTCAGGACATGTGCCCATTTCAGAGCAAGCTGAAGACAGTTTTAGAACTGAGCGCAAACTCCACCATAGCTCAGCTCTGAATGGTGGCCACAAGGAAACCAAGGCTCAGCTAGGATCACAGAGTTCTTTAGGACCAGAGCCAGGACCAAAATCCCAATGACCACGGTCATACCCTTCAGCTCTGCTGGAGATAAGGACTTGTTCAGCAGTCAAATGAAACCCCTCACCCAAAGGTTGCTGCAATACTCCATCCAGACTGGCTGGGCCCCAATGCCCACTTCCTGGGGCATGAGCTTCAGTAAGACAGCACGAATGATGCATGGCTGTGTTGGTGCATTTTTAAAAGAGTCTTTATTTTGCTTAACACCTAAAATATATTTCTTCTAAGACATCTGTAGAAGAAATGACCATCACATATACACCTATTTTTATTTCCTAGTTGTTTGTGACATTTTAAATGACAGAGGAAATCTATGTACCAGTTCCAGGACAGCTAGTGCTGTTACACAGAGATACCCTGTCTTGAAAAACCAAAATAAAATATATAAATAATAAAATAAAATAAAGTAAAAAAAGAAGCTGGGTATGGCATGGGGTTTCTTCCCCTAGAAAAGAAACACGGCTCTGAAATACCTGACTGCAGGCTCATGGATTCCAGAACTATCTATGGGGAGAATTAGTAAAACAATTAAAAGCTATTTATTTGTATGTGTGTGGTGTGTTTGAGTCCATGTGTTCTTGTATGCCAGTGTGTGAACATGTGTATGAACACGAGAGGCTGATGTTAACTGTCTTCCTCCTTTCCTGTGTCTTTCCAGCCTAATTTTTGAGACAAGTTCTTGTCACGGAAGCTGGAGTTCACAGAAAGGCTAGCCCAGCTGGCCAGTGAGTTCTGGGAATCTGCCTGTCCTCAGTGCTGGGGTTATGGTGTTGCCATTCAGCTCTTTACTCGGGTGCCGCGGGTCCCAACTCAGGCCCTCAGGTTTTACCCAGGCAGCCATCTCTCCAGCCTTCCACAACTATTTCTTATGAAGAAATAGAGACAATATTTCTAGATCAGGCACCAACATTTTTAGGTTAAGCATCAGGAAATATCTTGAAATCTGGCTAGAAAAAAAAAAACTTGATTTCTGTGGAACTTTCTGTATTGTTTACGACAGTATCCACTGATTTAGCATCATGAACAAGAGCTACTTTATCATTATCAAAATGAAATACTAGTTTAAAAGATAAAATTTGTGGCCTACTAAAAGGACATTATTTATCCAGCTTGTTATGCAAATGACCAGCCCGTTTCATCAATAATAACATAGGTGAGAATACTTGCTAATTTCTGAGTCTTCGAAGTTGAGAGAGCGGGAAGATTTTGGGAGGCTAACATGAAAGGCATCTGTGTGGCAGCCAGGCTCTTTGGCCGAGGGCAGGCAGTATCAAGATGGCAGTGAAAGACGGCAAAGTGCTCTCTCTCAAGGCTGCATCCCTGGCAGCTGACTTTCTCCAGGTCGGGCCCGCCTTCAAAGTTCCACTACCTCCTGATAATGCCGTCAAGTTATGAATCCATGAATCGATTGAGTATATCGATGAAGCCAGACAGCCTCATGATCCAATCCCTTCCCCGCAGTCCCCCTCTGAACACTGCTGCTTTGAGAGCTCGGCCTGCACACGAGCCTCTGGGGAGCAGCTCACTTCATGTCTGAACCGTTTCCAAGCACAGGAGTGTTCTGTTCAGCAGCCGTCAAGCACTGGGCTTCTAAGAGCTCGTGCTGGCAGCACGGCTGTCACTTGTGCTTCAGGTTTCCTGGGGCTCACACTCTTGATAACTAAATAAGCAGGGCATGAAGATTTTCACAAGATGATTTTGGCAAAATGTCACTTTCCTCCCACTTGGAGACGCTTATCTGATCCGGAGGCCTTTTCTTCTGTGCCTTCCTTTTAACTTTGGATTCTCAGGCTGGAAGATTCTTATCAAGCACGGTGAAATATGTGTATTGAAAGGAAGAGTGATGATGGACAAGCAGAAGGAAAGGCCAAAAGACCAGCTGCATAGAGGGAAGGCGACATGAGAGGGGTGGGGACACCGTTTCATGATGATAGAGACAGCTGTGGGAATCCTGCTCCCACAAACCAAGACGTATCTGAGGCTATCGGCAGCTGGAGGGAGAACTCCCTAGAGTTACAGGGCAGCACGCTCTGAGGCTCCTGGACTGTGGAACTATGGTAGGTAAGCATTACTCTGCACCGCCCTGTGTGGTTCCTTGCCACAGCAGTCCTAAGAGATAGCTGTGGTGGAGGACACTGGCATTTTGGTACTTCACACAGGACTCTCTGGATGCTGACTCAGTTCAGAGGCTTTTCCTCAGCTCCCTCCTTCCCAGCATCCTGTCATCTGCTCACACCCCAAGGTCCTTCAATGTGCTGTATCTTCATGTTTGAGCGCTCTACAGTGTGCTGTATCTTCACATGTCTGAGCACTCTACAGTGTGTCTATCTTCACATGTCTGAGCACGCTGGTCCTTCACCTCACCTTCCTAACGCGTCAGCAGTCTGCAGGCTACCTCTGTAGCAGCTGCTGCTGACTGCCCGCCCCACAAGTCTCCAGTTGAAGTGACTGTCCCTTCCATAAACACAGTGCTGTTAAGAGCATTCTGACATTATTTTATATTCATTTGTCTTTTTTGCAAATCCATCCCTACCCTGTGGTGCTGTAACCTCTCAGAAAGGGGGAGTTATCCCTTCAAATTTGATACACAGAAGTCCCAGGGGCTTTTGCTAACTAGTATACCAGAGGCCTAAAAATATAAAATCGAAAAGCTATTTATTGCAGATTCTGTTAAAAGCACTCATGTGAAGAGGTAGAACAAATGGCTGAGGTATACACGTCAGTGCCTGGAAAGTACCTTCCTACATGTTGTTAGCATCCCGGTGATAATGCAATCTTCTGATCAGTCACAGGCAGACTGCCCGCTTTCCCAGCAGATTCAGCAAACTCTCACAGCTACAACCACCACAGGTAAGTGTTTAGAAAGGGTTGTCTTGCCTGTTCCATTAGAGCAGGCTGGGGAGGAGATACTGACTTGTGGGTGGGGTGGGAGGACAGCGAGGCAGTGAAAGCTACTTTTGGGTTCATGAGAATGTTCTGAAGCTGACTGCGAGGGTTGTATGCCTCTGGCTACACTGAAGGCCACTGTGCTGGACACTGAAAATGAAGGCACTATATGACGTGAGAATGCTACCTCCATAGCTTGCTTTTCTAAGAAGAATGGAGTCTCAGAGAGGATGGAGCACACCAGGAGAACACAGCCCTCTGAATCAACTAAGCAAGGTGCATATGGGTTCACAGAGACTAACACAGTGAGCACAGGGTAGACATGGGGCTGCACCAGGTTTTATATATATTAGCTTAGCATTTCTATGATTCCGGACTGTGAGAACGAGTCTCAGACTACTGCCTGTTCTGTGTGCTCTTTTCTCCTGTCAGGATATGACATATGAAATTTACATATGAAAAGTTTTGCTTCATCTTATTATATTTTATTTAGTCACATTTGGTTGTTATGTCTTAGAAGCCTGTTCTTTTCTAAAGGGGAGGAGAGGTAGGGAGGAACTGAGTAGAAGAGGGAGGGGAAACTCTAAACAGAATATATTGTATGAGAAAATAAACCATTTTCAAAAAAGGAATGATGTCTTCCATAGGGCTTTTGGTGCTAGAATACCATGACTAGAAGCCAACTGGGGAGGAGAGGGTTTATTTGGCTTACCCTTCTACACTGCTGTTCATCGTGGAAGGACATCAGGACAGGAACTCAAACAGGGCAGGAACCTGGAGTCAGAAGCTGATGCAGAGGCTGTGGAGGGGAGCTGCTTACTGGGCTGCTCAGTTTGCTCAGCTTGCTTACTGACAGAACCCAGGACCAGCAGCCCAGGGATTCTGCTACCCCATAGTGGGCTGGGCCCTCTCACACAAATCACTAATTAAGAAAATGCCCCAAACTTGCCAACAGCCTGATGTTATGGAGACATTTTCTTGTCTGAGGCTCCTCCTCTCAGATGACTCTAACTTGTATCAAGCTGACGTTAACTAGCCAGCACAAATGGTTTATTAAATTCATCACAGTCACAAAACTGCCATTACAGCAAGCCAGTGTTTTCCATAAGCACACACAAATATAGGCAGATAAAATAGATCTCTTGTACTAAGAGAAAACAAAGTTACCACAGCCTATACTGTTTGTAGTCTCCTAAAGAAAAGCTGGCACATCAGGCCCACTCACCCTGTCTACTGCCCAGGTGGAGCGCAGAAACTAGACGCATATGCTACCTTTGTTTACAGTATCCCCGTCTCTCTTCTTTCTCTGTCGTTACAGAGACCCTGGATCCAGTCAGCTGCGATCTAGTGAAGAAGGGAACCACACAACCCAGACAGTGAAGGCCAGGCTGGTTCCATATGCAGCAAGTCTAGTGATCTCTGGCCTAAGTCAAGACAGTCAGGTTCCCTGATACAGAACTCTGTATGAAGCCTTTAGAACAA